ATATGATCTTTTAATAAATATAGAGGGATGTACATTTTTGAGAAGCTTATGGCAAGCCAGATCATATAATTTATAAATATACAGGGTGTTCCATTTAAGAAAACATAACTTTAGTTCATATCTTTAAAAATATTCTTTTCGTAGAATAACAGACTACGCCACTGTATTCTACGTAAAATTTCTACAATAAACAGTTTTCACCTTCTTTAAATCTTTAACAATAACAGAGATACAGGGGGTGTCCCAAATTGCAAAATTTTCAAAAAGACCCTGTAGCTCAGAAACTAGGAGAGGGCTATGAAAATTTCGTTTACGGCATTGTTTACGGCATTTGACAAAAAAGTGAGACAGGTTTGTCCAAACCGCACCCTTCTATCTTTACTAATAACGGAGATACCGTATGATTTCAACTAAAATGGGACACCCTGTACATATATCAGTTCATGTCAAATAACCTTTTAGTCACGTGACAATCTTGACCGGCACAGCGTTGCTCACTTTTACATATTTTCTTTTAATCGAAATATTTTAGGAAACAAAAATAAATTAATTATAAATATATAAACAGTTATTATTTACATCAACAAAACTCACCTTCTTAACAGCACTTAAAGGACATAAAGAGCCATAACTATCACTTTCCCGTTCAAAATATTCAAGTTGCAATGAGTTTTTTACGGCTATTAAACTATCTTGTACACTACGCACTAAATAAAAAAAAATAAAGTGTCAAAACGAATGACAATGTCAATAAATAAATAAATAAATGTGGCACAGTGCCTTCTATTAAAAGATCAGCCTACGGGCGGACTTTTGTTTGCTTCATCAGCTGTACATACTTAGATATTGGGTTAGATTCTGTTTCATATTTTGTCGGTTGATTTTTGGTTTTAACTCTTTGATTTTTGGTATTATTTATTATTGTAGTGCAAAAAACTAATTATTTTGGTGTTGAAGTGACATAAACTACTACCAGATTATGGTCACTCTCGGTTTCGCATAAAAAAATAGAAATTTTAAAAATTACACGTTGTGCAAGTGATTTAACCTAAAAGTGCCCATACATTTTTTACTTATCGTGATTTTTGTGTGTGTTTTTTAAGACTCTAACAATTCATCAATAAAGCTTAAGTGGAGTGTGTTATTGGTGCTATGCCTCATCTTTGTTGTGTTCCTGGTGGAAAGGATAGTTATTATACTAGGCAGCCTAAAGTGTCCGGAAGAGCAAGAAAAGTGGGTACGAGTTATAAATCAAGAGAATTTTATTAAAAATATCTTTAATAAATTTAAAAATATTATTCTCCCATGATGGTATTAATGAAAACTGGACAATTATGTTTATTTTATTCATATTGTGGAATCTCCACTCCAAGTGTTGCTGGTTTAGCTTCGATAGATTCAAACACGTAAGTAGGTATTATGAACTAGGGAAAAATAAAGAATATGTGTATTAGAGATCATGAAAAAGATTATTATTTTGAGTTCAAATTTTAAATTGTAAAGACAAGACTGATACAGTTTAAAAGAAGAATGTGTTTTTGTTTGATAATATATAATGTATGTTAAGCATAACAATATTTGTTCAGTAAGTAATTTTTAATGAATAGTATTGATTATTTATAATACCAAATTAATATCAAATATTTAAGTGATGGCTGAATACAATATGAATAAAATAACAATAAAATTGGTATATTTGCATAATACAAAATTAAGTTTTAAGAATAAAGGTGTTACTAAAAATACTAAGAAATTCATATTTCTTTGTTTTAATTGGTCTAATGCTAAGGTCTAATGTTATTTACATTTTACGTAAGAATTATACCGTATCATCGAAAAAAATCGGCGTCTAGTTGGCTTGGAAATGAACATCGATGACATTCCCTAAATAACTGTACACATAAAATAATTAACTAGAATTTTACAATCTTGGAAAATTTGATATTCTTTTGAACCTTGATTCTAAATATTCTAAATTTTTTGATTTTCTTGGAATTTAGGTTCGGGAAAAACGCTGATTGATTTTTCATTTGGTTTTTCATTATTTTTATTTGATTTAAAAAAACAGTTCGGCTAACATTATAGCCTCCATCAGTGTTGTGTCATATGAAAAAAAATAGTGTCGAATATAATCCAAAAATTGCATATAAAATATTCACACCACGCACATAATGTTTACTGCGTACTTCCATAGTCAATGTAGATAATTTTAGTGTTAAGAATAATAATTTAAAAAAAATATGTGGTCATCTTTTGATAAGTTTATATTAGTTTATTAATTGCAGTAAACATTATGAGGTGTGAATTATATTGTATATGTAATTTTTGGATTATATTCGACACTATTTTTCTCATATGACACAACACTGTGAAGGCTATAGTTAGCCGAAACGTTTTTTTAAACCAAATAAAAATAATGAAAAACCCAAATGAAAACTTAATCAGCGTTTTTCCCGAACCTAAAATCCCAAGAAAATCAAAAATTTTAGAATAATTTAACATATAAAATGCCAGCGATCTTCAGTTCATAGCATCGCTGACGCTTACTTTTTTAGATAATATTGTATTATTTCTAAATATAATTTTTCGAACATTGATACTTGCAAAATATACATATAAATTTTGTGAATGCAAATAATAATACATCACTATTAGTAGATATTAAATGTTTTTGTTAAATTAGATCGATTTTCAAACCCCAAAATTTAAAAAATATATTTACATTTTACCCATTATCTTATGTACCTATACATTATTTGTACATTGTAAAACATTTGCTACATTTGTATGGTTCATAGTTTATTTGCCAAAGTATTTATTACTATAAATAGGTATATATGTTGTAGTTATTAACTGTATATTATGTATATTTCATTTAAACTATATCATTTTTAAAATACAAACCAAAAATCTGAGGAATAATTATGTTTTCCATGTATTCTACAACATATTTATTAATCCGTTATATCTAACTAGCGTGACGTCATAAATCTCGCCCGTAGGCTGATCTTTTAATAGAAGGCACTGTGTGGCATAAACTTGACATTTTTGCAGCAGAGCTACCATCTGAATCCCCAGCGGCAAATTTAAACTCCAGTTAGTCAGCCCGGCGGAGAATATGTCCATGGCTGGCAACAATAGTTTTAAAAATCGCCCCTTAATTACATAACTAAAAGTTTAATTATTGGTATCAAATTACCCTTATTTGCGTTGATTTTCTGTAGCAAATATCAGACAAATATGTATTTGCTACAGAGAATCAATGCAAATATCAAATAGACAGCGATCGTCATTTCCAAACCAACTCTGACGCCGTGTTATGAACTGAATGACCGATAAATACAATTCTCTTAGGACGAGTTATTATTAATAAACGAAGAATTATTATTAATAAAACACTAAAATTACACTTTCCTGCCATATAAATTGAGATTTAATACACCTATTCCTCCATTCAATATCATTTGTAAACAATATTCCAGAAAATACTTAACTAATTTGCTAGGTATTTTCTGCCTAACTCAATATAGGTATGCAATACTAATCCTTGGCACAAAAAAAAATGAACGTCAAGAAAAATTACAGGACAAGAGATATTAATAATTGGAAATAAACAAAAATAGTTCTCATCCTGCAGATATTTCTCTTGGGCTTTCTTAACTAATTTTAGAGTTAACCAAGGTCATTAAACCTACACAGTCTCACATCAAATTATTTCACTGAAAACGTTTAAAAGGCACCTCGTCTTTTTATCTCGAAAGTTGCAGGAATTTCAGGATGCGTTGCGAATATTATCTACTTGTTTTACAACTTTACTGTTTAAAACACTGTAATTTCATATCTACATTGCTAAGTATAAACATTGTAAAAAAACGTAATCCTAACTTTTTAATATTTGATTATAGAGTAAAAAAAGGCAAATATCTCACTGCGGAACCTATAAAAAATATGTGAATATTTCCAATATTTACATAATGTGTTGAGTCTTTTTAAAGGCTGCATAAATACCAATAAAAGATTGCGACATCTTCGGAATTAGAACACCGATTGTTTGTTTGTATTTCGATTTTACATACTTTTTCTTTCCCCGTAACACATAAATTTGGAGCAAACACTGTTTACAATAAACACTTTTACGAAATAATCGATACTTTTTCGCAAAATATAAATATTCTCAGGAAAGGATCGTTTTCTCTTTCAACTTGTCGTAATTTAAATTCTATGGCATCAATCGAGATCTTAATATAAAAAGTAATGAATATACGAATTCTTCTACTCATAAAAGCGTCTTTATACCGTTCCTATGGCCCCAAAAGTTTTATGGTTACCTATATATAAACTCAAAACAATAGACCAAAATTAAAGGAGTCTTACCTTATTTCTACGGCAAATATTTTGATTATTACACGTAATTCTATCACTAGAACTTTATTGTCACCATTTTAGACGTTCGTTCATTTAAAATAATGTTAAAAACTATCAAAAACCGACCGTTCCGAACGGAATTATTAAATTATCGTCCATTTTATTCCGAGTTTATTCTCGACTGTCAATTTTCTACAAAAGTGTGGCTCAAAAAGCCGCTTGCTATGCGCTCGCGCAAACACTTTTCGGACAAAGAAAATAGCGAAGCCTGCCAAAGGGCTTTGTCACATCGGAAATTCCTTTATTTTCTTTTATATTCAGTGATTTTATGCCCGCTAGAAACGAAAATATTTTTGAAATTAATAACGAGCCCCGTCAAAAAAATGAAATCAAAACAAAAAATATTTTTTCAATTATTATAGAAATCTGTAATGGTAACATAATTGCACATAATTTTCTCTTTGAGATCAAAAGCTAAAAAGAATGATAATATTTTTGTAACATTTCAAAGCCTCAAATTAACATTTTTTAAATTAAAGGGAAGTTTATAAACTTTTTGAGTTGCGTCTATTTAAAAATTTATCTGCAACTGACAGAGATAACATGACATGCGACATCTACTGTCAAATAGAAAAGCAATTTTCAATTTTTTGAACCAGCTGATTATAAAACTCTTCCTACCTCAAACAAGTAAACAAAACTTGAGTTTTATTATCTTGAAAATGAGCGAAATTACTGTGAAAAGTGCGGAAGATAGTGAAAAGGAACCGGAAATTATTTATTTAGAATACCAAGGAAATATGGACACGAACGAGGAAAACATTATATTAGAAGTGAGCGAAAAAGACTTTTCCGAAAACGAAGATGATAAAAGGCATACAAACGATCAGCATTGTATAAGACTACTACATCGCGATTCTCCAGAGCTAGGTAACATAGAGGAGTATAAAATGGATGATCACAGATATGCCAGTACCCCTGATAATATAGAAGACAACAGTACGGTAGTTCTATGTGAAACAACGTACGATTCAGAAGTTTCTGCTGATGTATGGCTGTTCTTTCAGATATATTGAAGTATAAATTTAATATCTAACTTTTATTTTTAGAGACAAGACAATATTTTAGATGATATACCAACTGAAATATTAGTTTACACTTGTCAACCTGTGGATCAAAGAGAACTAAACAGGTATCCTTGTAAAGGATGCGATGCAGTGGTAGGTTGCATATTCTGTCTTAAATCTCATTATGAAAGTATACATTTAAATCTGGGAATAATTCAATACAAGTGCGAACAAACGACATACTTGAAAAATTACACAGAGATTTGTCACAAATGCAATTTAGTTTGTGAGAGCAAAGAAGAGATGATTGAACATAGGAAGATACATTTTGTGACTTGTGATGTTTGTGATATGTCCTTCGATAGTGCACTATTTCTGTCGAACCATTGTAAAACAGCTCATGAAAAATTTGAGGTAAAAAGTTTCTTTTATTTTAAACATTTATTATAATTATTATCTTATTTTTTTTCTAGGTTATAATAAGTTGTGACTTATGTGATCAATGGTTCAAGCACCTGTATCTTTTATCTGATCATTATGAATGTTTTCATGATATGATCTTGTGTATAGTTTGTTTCAAAAGATTTTCTTCACGAGAGGAATTAGACAAACATCATAATTCCCATTCTATAGTCTTGAGAAATACCGGTTCTGTTCTACCTTATGCCTGTTCGAAATGCAATCAAGCGTTTGCTGAAATTTGTGATCTATCAACGCATCTAACCAGAGAACATTCAAAAAGGAAATCTGATACAGGTGGAATCACTACGAAGTCTAAAACTGTAAGATTGTCGAAGGTCGAATCCATCTGTGACACGGGATGTGACAAAGCCAAAGCTAAATATCTTGAGCAGGTCAAACATAAAAGATTAAAAAAAATTTCAAAGGGTGAAGATTAGCAAATAGACACATAGTAATAAGGTAAACTTTAAGACATTTATTTAAGTCTGAGCAAAAATAGTCATTTTTACTAAATTATATCATTTTGGACTTTATGATATCTTTTTTTATTTATTATTTACAACCATATGAAGTATCTTTGCTTTTTTTTGATGCCCTATGTACAAAGTTTTATTTCAAAATGTATATAGCTCCTGTACACTAAATTAGAACTTATTTACTGTTTAAAGTAAGTTGCTAGATTACTATTTGTAGGAAACTTCGTCAAAATTTGTAAATTTATAAGATGAATTACGTAATAATTCAAAAGCAACATAATATACAGAATGTTACAGACACAGTAAAAACGGTTATTTATACATAATAAAATAATGTTAGTCTTCCTTGTTTATAATTAGATGTTTTAAAAGTACCTATTCACTTAATAATTTTTTAACATACATTATATTCTAAAAACACTGTAGGTACATAGTAAATACAGGGTGTCGAAATATTGCGTGGACATAGAACTACTATATATTTTTGGAAACTAAAAATAAGTTTATTGGACAAAATTTACCTCTATACAAAAGTGCTTCGTTTGTCCGCTAGAGGGCATCAAACTTTAAAAAATTAACCACATTTTTTAAGATATTTTAAGAACCGCTATTCCGATTTTAATGAGATTTTGGGTGACTATGCTTTGCTAAGTGCTTTAACATTTGACTTTCACAAAAAGCAAGAAAAAGTACGGGAAGGGTGAAAACAACCCCCACCCCTACATATATTTTAGTGTAAATATTTTCCAATTCCACCGACGACAGATTTTCTTTTCGTAAAATGGTCCCTCTAGTATTTACTACATTTCTTGTCTTTTGTAAAAAAGGTCATGTTGCATAGGTTTTGAGAAAAAAAATTTTGGAGAATTTATTTTACCAAAGCTGACCTCCAAAATATACAGGGAGTATCCAATATTCCGTGGACATTAGATTTAGGTATTTTTTGAATCAAAAAAAGTTAATTGCACATAATTTACCTTTATACAAAAGTGCTACGTTTGTCCGTTAGAGGGCATCAATAAAAAATAAACTTAAGTAATTTAAAATTTCTTAATATTTTTATGAAGTTTATTGTAAAAAACAATTTGGGATACTAACATAAAATTCCATACTTTTGCCAACTAGATTATTAGAGCATAATAGATTTTATGCGGCTTCATATGCGACAAAAAACATTTTTTGGAAATCAGCTTCAAAAAAAAATTTTTTTTTCAAAAAGCATGCTAGGTGACGTTTTTTTTTTATAAGAGACAAAAAATGTAGTAAATACTAGAAGGACCATTGTATAACCAAAAAATAAAAATCGGTCGTCGGTGGAGTTGACAGACGTACTGTATTTTGATTCCAAAAATATACAGTAGTTCTATGTCCACGGAATATTGGGATACCCTGTATAAAACGGCCATATAGTGGTTGATAAATATTCTCTAATATATTCATTATTTATAAATTTTTTTTTATTTTTTTTTTAAATATATTCATTATTTATACTATTACTTGCTTTTTCTAATTTGGAAATCTTAGTGTATTTAATCAAGTTTGGGCAATTCCATGATTACTCACGGGAAATTTAGAATAACAACAAAATTTTAAGAAAGTGTATTTTGTCCCTCATATGGGCTAGGTCAAGCTTTAGGTTATTATTTTCACAGACAATGATTTGAATTACTGTTGTGATACAGAACAAGATATTGAAATTTATAGTGATTAAAACATTAATAAAAAATCTATGATTATCCACAGGACATCAAAAAATTTGGATTTTTAAAATTTTGTTTTTAATAGCTTTTTTCTATGAACCTATACAAAACAAAATACATTAAGTGGAGTTGGGAACTTACATGTGCTGAACTTAAAATTAATTTGCTATAGCTGTATTACAAGATACAGACAGATATATTTGGGATATAAATAATTTGTTGATTACTCACGGGACACTACAATTTTAATATAAATTTTTATTTAGATTCAAAAAAATAACATAATATTTGATAGCTAAATAGAATAACATTGAACAATATTTGAGTGCTTGGAATTAAACACCTTTTTAACCTCAATTTGATAATTACTAAAATTCCTAAAACTATGAAAACTTGTTGTATTTGGTACTCTTTTAACTAGATTCCATTTTTCATCTAATTTAATTTTAGCTGCTTCAATTTCATCGGAATTTATTAGGATTATATTAATTTTCAATTCTATTCATTTATAATTTTTAATTTTCAATTATATTAATTTTTTAATTCTCGGCATGTTTATTAAGATACGCTTGCCTTAAATTTTTGTCCGCATTAATTTTGTCTCGATACTTTTTAACCGGACTCCTAACTCGTGCCTGCCTCTCATGATTCTTAATTTTTGCTATCTTTAAATAAAAAGAACCTATGACCGTTATTTTGTATTGATGTTTTCAACAATTATTTTTAAAAAAAGTCGATATTAACTAATAAGTAATAAAACTGGCGATGGGTCTTGTAATGTTAGTAAAAATGATGTTTTTTGATATTTTTGGTAAAATAATAAACGCATTTCTTTAAAAAAGCATGTTTACAGCAAAATGTTATGCTGTAACTTTTAACTGATTACTCATGGGACAGTTTAAACAAATTTAAAAAAATATATTTCCAAGAATCTTAATACATGTTAGCCAATATATTATAGGATTATAAGTTTGATTCCCTTTATACTGGTTTTCATAGAAACAACGACAAAAATTGAAAAACTTTTCTTTTTTGATTACTCACGGGACAAAAAGTTGAGCTATATTTGTAATTAAATTAAAGTAATTTTTACTTACATTTGGCACAAAAATACACCAGTACACAAAGGCTTGACAACAAAACAGTAAATGACGCGCACCAGGCCCAGAGGTAGCGTTCTTTTGTTTTTCCATGGCAACTCTTCATATAAAATGCAATTATTAAAGATTTTTTACAAACTAATTCTAATAATTTATCCCTAAATTTTTTCGCGAAATCTGGCCAACTTAGATAATATAAGATAATTTTTTAAGAAATTTGATTCTTTTTGAGGCGTATGATGAGAGTTTTTTCAGTAATTTAATCACTTAAAATATATAAAAAAATTAACGTCGTACATGGAATTGCCCGTTTGTAAAAATATTTTTTTCCTGAAAAATACTGAGCATTGAAAATAAAACCACTTAAAAATAAGCAATTAGTGATGTGTTTTAGTTCTGAAAACAGTGTTTAATAGTTGCTCTCTTAAAAGTTACATAAAACCACATTGTACGACTATGTGTATATAATGAAAAAATGTGGTTTCAGTAAGAATTAGCATTTCAAGTAATAATGCTTAGTAACTTGTATATATTACATGTATGTTAAGAAGGATGTGATTAAAAATAAACAATATTTTTCCAAAAAATAAATATCTGTTTTTATTCTTAAACCTAAATATTAATATTATGTTATTCTGGCATATCACCTCCCGGAACTAACTGAAATAGAATGTTTTCGTTATTACATAAAATCACCCAAATAAATTAATATTTACCATAGTAATATTATTTCCGTTTAACAATATTTGGTCTAGTTTTGTAACGCGCCTTCCTTCAGGTGTTGTCTCGTACTCCGTAACATCTTCCAGTAGCATGTTAACAAAATCATCAAAGCCTAAAAGTGTTCCTACAATTTCCTTATCGTTTTTCATGATAATGTGGATCCGAGAACCTATGCATTTATCGACCAATTCTAAAATTAATGAAGAAACCGGTTAACGTATATAAAACAATATTTATAACCTATCTCTAATAACATTACAAAATAAACTCACCTAATGGTAATAAAGTGGAAGAACTCACTGGCATGGTACTCATTTTTGAATTTTATTTGATTAACTTCAGAGAAAGCTAATTAACTTTAAAATTAGTGAGCAACTTTCAAAAATGCAATAACAAAATTTGACAAAATTCCAGCGTTGCCAGAGACTTTTCCAAAATTGTACTATTCTGTGGTAAAAATGTACCAGATTTTGATCGATTTGATCGAAAATGTACCAAACAAATCGCGCATCAGTCAAAGTCGTCTCGGTACTGTCAGCCACAGATAGAAAAAGAATTCTTGGCAGGGTTGGCAGAATATAGTTTGACTTATATTTGATAGAGGGCGATACCGGCGATGTAGAAAACGAAATTAGTGATGAGCGGTATTAGGAAAAATTCTAAGGGAAAAATTGTCGATTTTTTTGAACTTTCGATATTTGGAGTGTAATTTGCCGATTTTTATTCAAAAAATTATTGTTGTAATCAGTGTTTACTGTTAAAAAATGTACCAGAAATGTAAAAAATGTACTTTGGTACAAACGGTTCCAAATTTTCCAGATCTGTACAAATGTACCAGCTCTGGCAACGTTGCAAAATCCACAATCCACAGTCCACAGACAAAATCCAATAAAAAATGCATAGGACAAATGAACTATTTTTTCTACGGTACAGCCAACCTCTCTTCCAAGTTTCATATTTATTTTAAAATTATTTAAATGGTTATCTGTATAAAATACCGCAATAATGTGATATTTAATCATTTAGTTTTTTAGTTATTTGAATAAACGATAGGCACAACATGTTATAAACTATCTCCAAAGATAAATATATTTTTAAAGCAAATAACTTAGGCAACCAAAAATACATAGTTTGATAAATATTATTTTATCAGGAAAATAACTGTAAATTGCAGTTAAGGGAAATATATAGCTTATCAAATAGAAATGGAGGTTTAAAAATATATAATTTTCCTTTTAATACAGTTTAATTTCAAGAAATATTAAATAAATATGCTTAAAATCCCTAGAAAACAGTTTAAAACTAACATCACATGACATTCATTTGACAATTTTGATAATCATATGATCAATCGACACCCGAATTTTATTTCGAGTTCCAGCAAGGCGTAGTCCAGAGAAGTCCTAGAAGAAAATAAGTTGTATTAATTCTTTTCTTTGATTAACCGCAAGAAATCATCCACCATGGCTCTCAGCGACGCAGATGTACAAAAACAAGTAAGTAAATTCTTGATTTTACACCAAAATGTTCAGTGTACACATACAAAAAAGATGTCTTATAAAATTTTTGCGTTTCAATAAGCCCTTACCAAATATTAAGAGCATAATTTCTATTCATGCAGATCAAACATATGATGGCTTTCATCGAGCAAGAAGCCAACGAAAAGGCTGAAGAAATCGATGCCAAGGCTGAGGAAGAATTCAACATTGAAAAGGGGCGTTTGGTTCAACAGCAGAGACTTAAAATTATGGAATACTATGAAAAGAAGGAGAAACAAGTAGAACTACAAAAGAAAATGTAAGAAATTAACTTGGAATTGCAATATTTCTATATATTCTAATAGGTCATGTGATACCTATTTGTATTCATTTTAACAGTTTAAGTGACATAATGCTTCCTTTAAGGATTAATTTTAATTTGTATTGTTTTTATCGCTTATGCCTTACAATGTGAATTGTATGAACTGGTATAAATAACATTTAATTACAGTATTTGTTGATACAATCATAATAATGTTTGTTACAGTCAATCATCCAATATGTTGAATCAAGCTCGTTTGAAGGTATTGAAAGTCAGGGAGGATCATGTAAGGGCAGTTTTAGAGGATGCCCGCAAAAGATTGGGTGAAGTAACTAGCGATCAAGGCCGCTACGCTCAAATCATTGAGTCTTTGATTCTACAAGCTTTATACCAGGTTTGTTTGTCAACTAAATTCAGTGAAATATTTAATTATCATTACCAATTCTTTTTATTTAGCTTTTTGAGAGTAACATTGTTGTACGTGTCAGACCACAAGACAGAGACCTTATTAAATCTGTCCTCCCCAATGTTTCCACCAAATACAAGGATGTGACTGGCAAAGAAGTCAACCTTGTCATTGACAACGAAGTGCAACTCTCCCAAGAAACCACAGGAGGAATTGAACTGTATGCCCACCACAATAAGATCAAGATCAACAACACTTTAGAAGCTCGACTGGAACTGATTTCTCAGCAGCTCGTTCCCCAGATTCGTACGGCCTTGTTCGGACGTAACGTAAACCGTAAATTTACTGATTAACTTTGTATTATATCGCCATCCAGGTATTATTCGAGCAAAACAATAATATATTTAAAGTTAAGATTTTCCAAAACTCCTTTTTTGATTCCAAAATGCATTTTATCATTTTACTTTAGAGGTAAATACGTTTTTGTGTTGTATATAGTTAAAAAAACATTGTTGAATTTTATGCCAACTGTAGAAAGTATTATAGTGAATTGAAATCGATAGATTCATCTATTTCTTAGTTTGTGGTTTACATTGCACTTTCCTGTATTGTATGTTATGAAAATATATATGTTAATAAACTCGTAGTGTTTTTTTAGAGTTTGGATTGGATTAAATTAGGCAAAATACTTATTAATATTCAAATAAATGAGAGGACCTTTTAATTTCTCTTTAAACTTAAAATTAAAATATTAAAATCAAAATACTTCGTTGTCTATGATCAAAAAATAATAATTTTTATATATGACGGTAGTTCTTTGTCAGCCCGGATAGTCCTAGTAGCTTAGGCCTCCACATCAATAAAATAAGAGGAAGATTTGTAATCTAACCTAATTTAAATACTCCGATTCACTCCGATTTTTATAAACAAAGCCATGCCGAAAGCTGCATATTTTGAGATTCTAGCCGGAACTTACGAAGAGTATATCCTGGGATACTTCTTTTCATCCAAAGTAATTATAGTATATTTTGTATAACATTCTAGACTGTGTTACGTGTTTTTTTTCCTAGGAAAAGAAGCTCACTCAAAGTGTTGCATCCCACGATCATTATGGTAGTGTAAGAGCACTGGCAATATGTGACAAATATTTAGCTTCCGGGGCCACCGACGATAGAATAATTATCTACAATTTAAAGTCCCGGAAGGAACATTGTATGCTGACACATCATGAGAGTACAATAACTGCCCTTGCGTTCACGAAAGATCATTCCCACATTATATCTGCGAGTCAAGACGGTTCTTTAGCTATTGTAAGAGCAGGCAACTGGCAGTTAGAGAAACTATGGACTAAAGCACATAAAGGAGGTACTATTTTGGATATAGCAGTGCATTCTAGTGGCAAACTAGCACTAAGTTTGGGCACTGACTGTACTATCAGAACATGGAACCTGATAAAAGGAAGAGCGGCATATATTATTAATTTAAACAGTAAATGCGAGGACCCAAAGAGTTTGGAGAAAATAATATTCGGCCCGGATGATGTTAAGTTTATTTTGTATGGTGGAAAAATCACTCAAATTTGGAGTATTGAGACTGGAGGAATACTAGAAGAACTGAAGCATGAGGAGAGGGTAACTTCTTGTGTGTGGATGGACAGTAATACTGTGTTTATTGGTTATGAAGATGGTAAAATAAGTGTGTGGGACCTAGAAAGTAAAACACAGAAAATTTCACAGCAAGGGCACAATGGTAATGATAAATATTATTTATTTTTTAATTATTTTTCTAAGGATATGTCCAATGTTAAGGTAGAGTAAAAGCAGCTCAGTATTTTGAGGGATTTATCACTACAGCTTCAAGTACAGGACAAATTAAAGTGTGGACAAGGAAATTAAGGGAAATTGCATGTGTCAACACAGATTGTAGAATAACATGTCTTTCTATAGCTCAGTGGTCGGGCATAGTTAAAAAGGAAGAAGAAGAAACACATAATATTGATGAGGTATGCACATATGCAATGTTTGTATTGTTTGATTTAGTATATTTACATTATTTTAGGTTGTCAAAGAGAGAATACCACAAAAAAGTACTGTTGTTGTAGAAGTAGAATATAGTTCGGACAAAGAATTAAGTTCAGTAAAGATAAATAACACTAAAAGAAAATTAAAAGGTGACACTGCTGCTAAAACTAAAAAAAATAAGATGGAGAATACAGAACAGACAGAACAAGTAAAAGTAGGGAACAAATCTAAAAATATTTCAAAGAAAAAGAAGAAAAAACATAATGTATGATGTAGTATATTTAACAAAATATAATATATAACAATAAAATATATTAAATATAATATAATTTAATTTTTACATTGAGGTATCCAATAGGACAACAAAGGCATATCTTGCTTTTGGACCCCAAAACTTTTTAATAAGTCAGTGTTAGTGTTATTATCTGGACACCAACATAAAGCACAACCAATGTTATACCAGTGCATAACTAAACTCATTATGTGAGGTTCGAGTGCTGCAACTGGCAAGTTTTCATCTTTTAAAGCACTTTCAATAGAAATAAGTAAAGATGGCAACTTTTGAGGTAGTGTGCCATTCCATGCAACTTTATAAATTTCACCAACCTTGGTTATTTTACACAAATCGCCAGTTTTGGGGAGAATAAATTTTTTGGGTAAAATTTTCATGAAAGTCCTCTCTATTTCGGTATCATCTGATTCCACCCTAATTCCTATTAAATAGCAATAACAGATCTTTTGAAAGATATCCTAAAATAAACAGTATATTATTTAAGTCTTAAGTAAATAACATCAATTTCCTACTTACTTGGGACATATTTTTATAAACAGTCCTTAAATTCAAATTCTGGCAATCGACAGGTAGATCAGGAGCTTTAAAAGGCTTCTCCACGACGGTCTCAACATTTAGCAGCCAGGTAAACCATAAATGAAGGTGTGCAAATACAGCAGCTTCTCCTGTCAACTCACTTAAAGATCGACCAGTGCAAGTTGGCGACCCTTGTGCCTGTCTCACTGCTCTTTGGGATTTATGCATTTGCTCTAAAGTATTCACTTTAACTGATTTTTGTTGTAGATCTAATGCAATTTCTTTAATATGTTTAGTGAGGAAAGGCCAACAATTTAAAAGATGAATCTGATAATAGAAAAATAAAATAATATTAGGATAATTGATTGGTATTAGGAATATTTACTCTATCTCTCATTAACATCAATATGCAATACTTCCTTTGAAAGCCTCTTGCTAAAGAATCTTGAACAGTGAAAATATGACTTATAACATGGCCTCTTTCGTGATCACCAAAGTATAAGATACCACCTTCTTTACTCGTTTCCTAAGAACAATTTTTAATAGCAAAACAATAATATATATTAATGTATTTGTACCTCACAGCTGAGACTTCTTACAACAGCTTGCTTTAACAGAAACGCTAAATCTTGTTGTAGAGGTGTTCTTGTTGTAACGTAACAAACATTTTCTTCCTTGCATACTATCGCTTGCTCTAAATCTAAAGACTGGCAAGCCTCGCACACAGGAACAGTAAGACTGTGAGGAAATTGCTGCGGTTCCTCCTTACATCTTTGAGTGCAAAGAATCACGCAAGGCCCGTGGGTTTCACAAAAGTGTCCGAGAGCCAATATGCCATCCATTTATTTAAATCACTAGCATATTTTTAATATTAATCATTTGTTATGAAAATTTTGACATAGTTTTATAACCTAATATATTCTTCTTCTATTAAATATAAAATAACAGTTTTGTGCTAACATTTTAGTTCTTTTGTACCGCCAGATTATATATGATATACCGCGAATAATTGGTTAACACGTATTGAAGTTTATTAAAATAAAATATATTATAGTGTGTTTGTTTAATAAATGCATAGTCAAAAACTCTTTCACTTATTTATTTGGAATATTTTATTTTTGAAAGAAATATGTAAAAATAGATTTATTTATATATGATAATAAATTACAATTCTTATGATTCAAAGGTTTAGGTTCTGTGGTAACCACATACTGAGGGTGCAGCCACACTATCCTAAAACCGGCGTATCGGCTAACGACGTAATGACCTTGAATCGATTTCCAGTAATTCTATTGGCTGAAATTTTTGATAGATGAATTTGACAGATAAAATTTCTGACAGATGAATGTTTCAGCCAATAGAATTACTGGAAATCTATTCAAGGTCATTACGCCGTTACGCCGATACGCCGTTTTTAGGATAGTGTGGCTGCACCCTGACAGCTAAAAACAGCTGATTGTGACGTTTATAGTTTTTGTGTTTATTTGAATTTACACGTCCTCTAATATTACAAAACTTAATATAGTGCTGTTAAAATGTATTTTAGTTATTTTTTATATTTAAAATACAGGTGTTAGCATGTAGTCCATGTTATTAGTCGAAATAACACTACAGAACATAGTGAAATGATTTGGCTCATAGAGAAATTTACAGTCCAATATGTTTGGAAGTAGGAACAAAGTAAAATATTCTATTCTCGATAAAAATGATGATAATAATCCAGTCGAAGCGGAAACAGTAGACTTTCAACCGATGAAACGCAAATTTTGTACCCCCTCCTGCCTCTGGTCCGCTATTTTTACAGGGGCTCTGATAGGAACTTATTATATACCATCAGTTGGATTAACATTTTATCAAAGATGGTTACTACAGGTAATCAATAAGTGTATTATCCAAATAAACTATATTTTATTATTTTAAATTATTTTAGAGGTTTCGCTTTCCTTTGATTACTGTCCTGATACACATGATTGTAAAATTTATCTTGGCAGCACTAGTGAGATGCTGCTTTATGAGAAAAAGGAATAAGCAAAGGATAATTTTAGGATGGACAGATTACATTTTAGCTGTGGCTCCTACAGGAGTTTTCAGTGGAATTGATATTGGTTTTTCGAATTGGGGCCTAGAATTAATAACAGTTTCTTTGTAAATAATATTTTACTTTTTAAAAGAGCCAACTCTAACATGAATTATGTTTTTAGATATACTATGACTAAATCATCAACAATAGTTTTCATATTATTCTTTTCAATAATATTTAAGCTCGAGAAAAAAGTAAGAATATTTGTCATTTAAAAACTCTAGGTATATAAAACAAATATTTTTAGTCATGGAGTTTATGTGCTATAGTATTTATGATAACATTGGGTCTAGTTCTTTTTACATATAAATCGACACAGTTTAATTTCTTGGGATTTATATTGCTGCTTATTGCATCAATATCAAGTGGTTTGAGATGGACTTGCGTGCAATTATTATTACAAAAATCCAAGATGGGAATGGATAATCCTATAGATATGATTTACCACATGCAACCGTGGATGATAGCATCAGTGTTACCATTTGCTTTGTATAATGAAGGCAAATAAAATAACATGTTTGTGAGATTATTTCTGATATTTATTAGAGTTGTTTTTAGGCTTTGATGTGGTAAGAAGTTGTCAGGTATTTGGATTCATGAAGTTACATGATTTTATGTTATTATCTTTAAAAGTATTATTAGGTGCATTTATTGCATTCTTTATGGAAGTAAGCGAAGTTACCCTAGTTACGTACACGTCAAGTTTAACCCTTGCTATTGCAGGTATTTTTAAGGTATGTAATTTTTTTGTTTTTAACTAACATATTTGAACTGGGAAAAACTATTCTATTTTAGGAAGTATTTATTTTAGCCATAGCTGTTGAAATGAATGGTGATATGATGTCACCTATAAATATTATAGGCTTGTTTATATGTATCTGTGGTATATCAGGTCATGTCATACACAAAATAAAATCAACATCACAAAATAGGCAGACAGGTACGTAGGAAATTTTAGTATATCTCACAAACTTCCTTAATATGGCATAAACTGGCCCAGTAATTTGAAAACACTCTATGTGTGGTTTCTTACTGGAGATTTTTACTGCAATGTTTTTTTTTAATAATATGTGCAGGCAATACTACTACTATTTGCATATTATCCTCTACTGCATATTCTACAAAACATTTTCATGTATTTTGATCTACCGCAAATCTAAGGTTTTCATAAATAATTTTTATATTCAGTATTGATATTTACTGGTAAATTAAAAGTATTGTTTTTTAATAAAATGACTTTAATTAATGCCCAGTATTAATTGTAGTTTTAGTAACAAACCTAAAATCTAAATAAAAGAAAGAGACAAATTTCATTTTATATTTTCAATAAAAACGGGATATTATGCCTCGTTCGCAAGCATATATTAACACAGATATTAAGTCAAAATTGTGAGATAGGTAGATTTATAAATCTTAAAGCCAAGAAGTCCAGCTAGCCTAATCCTATTAGGAGCGCATTTTTTCAAACGGAACTCCCTGTATATTTATTAGTGATGTAAAAATTCTGAGTAATCGTTACTAAGTAACAGTTACTTTACGAGGACTCGAAGTAACGCTTACCATTTGAATTTAGGACTCGTTACTCGTTACTAAGCTAATTCGTTACTTTTACGCCGGCAGTAATCGTAATCCCTGGAAATGCACGAACCGAGGACTCGAAACTCGATACTGAAATATTCCTTACTTCGACGTAGGTCTAGTTGTTATCAATATGTTTATGTTTAAAGTTTTGACTTGACGCCGGCCGGTGTTTTGGATGGCAAATGTGTGATATTTTTATTACAATTATTATGATTGGCTCATGCCGACCCGGCGCACGGAGGGGTATTAGCATGAAAAAGGTGATCGAAATTCGAAAAAGCAAATGTGTTTAAGATTTCCCAAAAAAAGATAAATGATAAGTTCATGATAAGTTAAATCTCTGCCATGAATGGCGTTGCTATGGGCAGAGATAACTACGAGATGCCCAAGTCAATGTGTATAACTGGTTCTCTAATAGCTATATATAAAAATCCAATGACGGATCCGTTGAATCTGGAGATAGTTGGCGCTGCGATCGGCGCTAAGCGATTCAAAAAGCGCGCCTTTATTTGAATTTAAATATTTTTATAATATATTATAATTACCAAATAAAATACTAATATAAGAATTAAATTATTTATTAAGAGATAAAAAAATAATATTTTCAAATATGTTACAATAAAATGATAATTTTAAATAAACATAATAATAAATAAGTGGTACAAGGAAATAAAACAAACATTTGAGATACAAATGTTGCAGTAAAAAAACAGTAAAAAATGGAATGTCAGTAAAAAAACCATGACATCAGGGAAAAAGCTTTACGTGCCATATGCTTAACGCACGTTAGGGTCCACGTGGAAACACAAACATTCAGCACGGCGAAACAACGTGGCCGCATCCGAAACTCCTTCCAAAGAAAACTTTTCAATACATTGACAAATTTTTATCCTGTGTCCATCCTTGAAAAAAAAAGTATTATTAGATGTGAATGAATTAGGGTTTCCATACATCCGGATTTGGCATGTTTTAGTTTTTATGGTGTCTGGGGTATTATGCGATTAAACTGTTTCACAAAATTATTTAGTTTTTATGATCAGATTTACTGTACTTTCTTTCAATTTCCCTTAAGGATTACCCTTAAAATCGATCGGACACCTTAAAAATTAAAAAGAACATTCTTTCTAAGGTTTCCATGTTTAGGTTTTTAAGGTGTTTATTAGGTGCGTACCTAATTATAGTAAAATAAAATATATTCCTTAAAGTCTTAAAAAAATTGAAAATTAAAAGGGTTACAAAATATGTATTTCTTCTTTATGTATGTATATGCTAGAAGAGCTAGAAGAATGTCAGACTGTACTAATAAAAATTACACATAATTAATTGCAGTATGCCATATATGAATTCTCGTATAAGACCATATGAGGAATACATTTTTTTATTTGAAAGTGGAAGACAAAGACATATTATGAAATAAAATATCTTCTTTAATTAATATTATATTTAATGTTGAAATTTTGTACAAAAAATCAACATTAAATAAAGACAATGAAACTTGAAACTAATAGATGTTTTATTTCAGCATATTAATTTGTTGTTTATTGAAATTACTGGGATATATTACCCCATGTCATTTTCCTTAGGAGTGCATATTCCTTTTCAATACTATCCTACAATTGCTTCTTGGTCATGTTGCTCTAAAAACTGAAGAGTGTATATTTGTTTGATGACATATGTTTATGTTAACCCTGATGGTGCTGCAATTTGTTTTAGAACATAGTTCACCTAGAAAATATAATACTGGTTATGTCATTTTTTTATGTAATTGTGATATGTTTTGATCTGTAATGTGTTCTGTAATGTGAGCTGTTTTCATGACAAATTAAAAATTTATTCCTGTTGGTTTAATATATAAACAAACATAAACATTGAAAATTTGAAATTTTTAGTTTGATAGTTGTTAATGTTGACTAAATATCATATTAAAAGAAAATAACCATCTATTAAGAATACCGATATTTTATATGCTACACCAAGGATATTTTTATACTTAAATACTTCTATTAGTACTTCTTGAAAAAATATTATAATCTACGTCCTACATCCAATCTAAGTCCAATGAAAAATATCGAATTTTGGATTGTAGCATTATTTCAGAGAATCATAGTGCGTTGGAACAGATGGTTGTATGAACATCAGCATTTTCTACAATACTAAATATAATAGATTTATTTGGTATTTTAGTATTTGAGATTAATTCTATAAAATTTATTGTTCGTTCTTATAAATGTTGGTTTAATTAATTCACGGTTATTCAGCTCATTAGACACGGAGTAATGTACTGTAGCCAAACGATTAGATTTTTACAAATTGTAAGTTTTGGATTTGTTGTAGGACTATTTATAATTATTTGCAACAAGTACTACAGTGTCCCAAATAAATAAAAATATCAAACACTAGTTAAGTAGATGTAAAAGAGGACTAATTAATATGATCTCAGTATTCGAACTACATACATTAATTGACTATTTGCGTTGATTAATAATTGCTCCAGTACTAAAAAAAACTGAATTTTGTATGTGTATTAGACAATGTGGTAAAAGTAACACCTAAATTTTATGTCATTTTTTGATAAATGCTTATTTATAATAACAGAGACGTTCATATTCATAACTTTTTAATATATTGATTTCTGATTCAAATCTACATTTATTTATAATAATTTATTAACTAACACAATTAAATGTGATTAATTAATATTTGGGCGGAAATAATGGTGGTATATTTAATTAATGGTACACTCTTTTGCAAAGATTTAAATAGTTATCTCTTTGTAAACAAATGGGCTAGCAATATTATCGTTTTTAGCATCGGTACAGTCTAAAATGTCAATATTATAAGAAAATGCATTTTCTATGAGAATTTGAAGATATAGGTAAAACGTTATATAATACAATTAAATTGTGCATCTGATTCACGTAAAATATACAGGGTGTTCCATTTAAATTAAACAAGTTATTGCCGTTTAAAGCTAGTAATTATTTAAAATAAATTTTAATATAAAATAAAATTTTTAGACACTCTGTATAAGATAGTATTATTTTTATTATTGCAACACAAAATTTAGAAAACAGAAAAACTTCAGTACAATATTTGGTTTTAAAAACTTAAATACCCCTAGAGAAATAAAGCATTAAAATTGTTACTGCATTTTTAGGTGAGATAAACCTTAATCAAAGTTATCTTTATTTTAATTGGAGAAACTAAAAATTTCATAATATAGAGAGTGTTCCATTTAAAAAAATACAACATTGGTATTTTTTATTTATTCGGAACAATCTGTATCTTACAAAAGTACGTTTAAATTGTAGCTCTAATAGTCCTTAAACAAACCCAAATCTTTTATAATTTGGAAAAATTCAAAATCTTTGGCTACAATACTCCGTGTCGAATGAGGTGAATAACCCTGTATAGCAAGATTACACCTTCGATGGTATTAATCTGAAAGCGCTGTTAGTTCCTTACCTAATTTTTGAGTTAATATTATATTATCCTTTAAATTTATCCCACTATCTACTAGCACTTTTATTTTTCTGTTGGGTATAGACTCATAAGGTAAATAAGTATATAGATATTCTTGTGTGAATTTTCACTATCTTGAAATCACTAAAACAAAGGTAAATTAATAAATGAATTTTTTCCAATATGTGAAAACCAATATTGGAAGACAAAAAAAAATAGTTTACCAGATAGTCCGTTCTTTATGTTTTACCCTCTCTGATTGTATATTATCCTCTCTGATAGTCTTATCAGAAGTTGCAGTGAGGCTCCTTTACCCTATATTTCAGATTTTGTGACTGACATTTCCTACAAATATAGGGAATATAGGATGTAAATTATTTTATATTACGCTTTGGGATTACCTATGAATGTCGGCAGTTTTTCTACATGATACACAATGATGGTGCTTCAATTATGAAAGAACATGAAGATGATATACCACTTCTTAACCATAAGAAAAGCATGTTTTCCACAAGACAAGTGACGGATTCATCTGTCATACAGCTCTTCACCTCGTTTCCCTTTAGTAGTTTTGTTCTGTTTCTATAAAAATATCAGTTCATTCCACTTTAACTGTACCTACAAATTTTACATATTGCTTATCACCTCTATCTGCAACACGATCTTTTTATAAATACTTATAACTAAGAGATTATAAATACATGTGTAAAAGTTAATATAAACAATTACCTATTAAATTAAATATAAAATATAAAAAAATATATGTTCGAATATAACAAATTTATTTTCTAACTATTTTAAAATTGATTAGACCCGATTACTTAAAATTATTTACCAAAGTAGTAATAGGAAATATTTTATTTAAACTAGGATGTTATAAATAAAACAAAATAGTTTATATAAAGAAATAATAGAATATAAGCTTCTTTACTTACAACCATTTTTATGTTTTCTTTTTGAAAGTGAATTTTCTACACTGGTTAGTTCTTTTATAACTTGAATCACTTTTATTTTATTTTAACAGTGAATATTATTATTTTCAGGCCTATCTTCTATACACTTTCATGGTCATATATTTCTCTTGTCTAGCGAAACCTGATTATGCTGCAATGTTCAATTTTGTTATTAGTCCCATTAGAAAATAAAATACTGTATTTTTTCTCTACAAAATTACATAACATGATTTATTGTGCTGATGGAGCTGCAAAATATCAATAAATATTTTGAAATTAAAGTACCTTTGTATAAATCAAATGTGAGGACAGTTTTATACATACGTTGAATTAAAAAGAAAATGTGAATTTACAATTTTGTGATTTTTAAATGTATAGAAAAGTTAATCTTTAAAAATGGCCATATTTTAAAAAACATTGGTATTATTTGACATATAAAATATTATTTTAAAATTTAGTGTAATATTCCCTGCATATTTTATAAAAACATGGAAGTGAAACTATATAACACTTGAAAAAGAAGAAGATATGAAGAAAGATATGAAGCTAATTTACAACCCTGTATTTTAAATAACTTGAAAAAATATATACTAGAGCCTAGGGCTTAACTGCTCACCTGAATTAGTTAAATCCTGGGTAACGTTATCACAGAGTCATTCATAGAGCAGGAATAGTTATGTTTCAGTTTTATATCAACCAAATTTTACTATCATCACAAAACAACATAATTACAAAAGGCATTGTGTTATATTTTCAAAGATTCTTGTCATATTTTTGGTCTACAAATACAAAACATTATTAATTTTCTTACTCCTCAATTATTAAAATATAGCTGATCCTCAAAGAAAGTTAATATCTGACTCGAAAGTTTATAAACAGCAAATGTCCATCTACAAATAAAATTCACAAATGTGTTTTTAATATAGCATTTTTAAACAAGCTAAGCTGGCTAGCCTCAGGCAAAGAATATTGTATTTTCGTAGTAGAATTATCTTTGACTTTTTTGTCATGGCTTCTCCCATCACCGGGAGAAGAAAATTTTATCAGTTTTATTGCAATACTAAACATATGTTTATATGTACTTACTTTTCAGTATTTTTGGAAAATTATGCATTTTGGCTAAATTCTGGACTCATCTTTGTTATTTCCTCCATAGATCTATCAATACAACATTTTTCTTGAGCGAAATATAGGCCTTGTTCCCATGTTGGTCTTCAAATAAAAATTAACTAATTGCGTTGAAATTCACTAATTATTGTGGTTAATAGATACCTCTGGGTAATTCGCGCAATATATAGGATATTAGTGATCACTTAAACACACATAATATTGCTAATACAACTTAAATAATTTGGAAATTCGCAAGCGAAAAATCAAATCGACAATCGATATTTGATATGAAAATATGAACAATGGCTGCCGCGGCGTCGCGTAGAGCGGGACTAGCGGGAGGCGGGGACTAAAACGGATGCGGAAATAAAAGCAGTAAAATATGTACCGGGTCATTTAAATTTGCGAAACAGCGCCCTCCCACTACAGATGCTAATTTTCCAAAGAAGTTTGATCTGGCCAGAGATCCGGCAGGCCTAATTCCCATATGTGCTTGATCGTCTCGTAGTTGTCTCTGCTATGGGTGTGTTTAGTTGCATTTATTTGTTTCAACGAAACGTCAAAGTTGTTACTTCTCACAGATAAGAGGTAAATGGCTAAATTTTATGTTTAAAATTATAAATTGTTGTTGTTCTTGTGCTCTTTTTACGTTGATATTATTGTTTTGATTGAAAATGGCTCAGCAAGCTGCAGGTATGTATTCTACAAAAAACGTATTATTTATTTTTGATATTCTCTATACTAACGATTTTTTTGCAACTAAAAGTTAGGCGTTCAGAAAATTTGATTAAATTTGTGACATTTTTATTATACTTAGAGATTTAGTTGTGCATTTCGAAGAATTCAGCATATTGTCTATATACGTTTTACTTAGTAAACATTGGGCTTTCATACAGTAAAATAAAATACTGCGACTTTTTGCGATTTTGCTGATAAAATGAGAAAAACATTCTTGGTTTCCTCTAATTTGCCAATCAGTGATATACTAATGCGAGGTGTAAACCGCGATGGCATTGTTGTGTACAAAGCGATCGCATTAGTGCCATTAGCAGTATAGCACAATTTGGCATTAGTAGCGACTTTAGTGGTATGGGCATTGCTCGCGGATCAGTCGTAGCATTAGTAGTAGTAGTTGCGATATTACTACTGGCACTGACCGTGGAAACACCGGAACAGTGATTTTTCTTTCTTTTTTTAGAATCGACGAATTATCCTTTATTTTGTTCATATTATTTCCTCTTTAATTGAAAAAAGCAATAATTTATATAAGGTCTACATAAAAAAATTTCGATCAACTATCAGTGTCAAATACCCCACTGTGCGGCGGCGCGCGGCGGTCTGTCCCTTTGCCCTTTGTTGTCGCTTTTTATTTAGGTAATTCCGCACGTTTTTTCAATTTTAGTTGAAATAAGTAATATAAGGTATTATTTAGTGGTAGAGTGTGTTTTATTTTTTGATTTATAGTTGCTAGGTGGGCGAAGAATAGAATTGTTTATTTAGATTAACATGTCTTAGATATTAATTGAAAATGGATTTCACGTTAGTCACAAAAAATCTTAACATCTAAAAAAGCAGAGCAAATATTTTTCCTCTTCAAAAAAGAATAGCTATTTCGCCACTTACACGAGATGGGTTTGCAAATATTTAAGAGCTTGCATTATTAAAGCATTTTCCAGGTGCTCAACATTGTTGTAGTTGCCACGACATATTTCATATTTCAAAAATCAAAAATCCCCAAAATCAGAAATCGAGAACGGACAAATCAGGGAATCAGGGAGGCCCATGGTCCATTAGTTCCAATTCATTGATTTGAGAAATAATAATTTAACAAAATTCTAATATTTTCAAAGTTGTGAGGGGGATCGCCATCTTGCTGAAAGTATATTTCACGTAAATTAACTAAAGGAATATGTAAAAGTTTTGGTACAATAGCTTCCAAGATTTACAAATATCGGTAGAGAGTTAAGTTTCCCTAATATATAAAGAATTTATTAGTGGCTCCTAAACTAAAACAAAATACAGATGGCAGTATAGTTTTAATAATTCTTTAGTTTCTTTTATTATCAATCATGGCCTACTAATAAATATGATCTTCTAATAAAAACTTTTAAATATTGCAGTAAATAATGAAAATAAATATAGAGTAACATATATTTTTGAGAGGCTTATGGCAAGCCAGATCATATAGTTTATAAATATACAGGGTGTTCCATTTAAGAAAACATGGTAGAATAACAGACTACGCCACTGTATTCTACGTAAAAAGTTCTCGATCGGGGGGTGTCCCAAATTGAAAAAAATTCAAAAAGACCCTGTAGCTCAGAAACGAAGAGGACTATGAACATTTTGTTTACAGTATCTTCTGTTTGACAAAAAAGTGAGACAGGTTTGCAACAAACCGCACCCTTCTATTTTCACTAATAAGGTTCTTATATAACGTATGATTTCAACCAAAATGGGACACCCTGTACATATCCTCTTCATTTCAATATTAATTTGAGTAAAATGTTTCTTATTTATTGTTATATAGGCCGTAATTATGAATTAAACAATGAACGTTCTGAACTCGGAGAAACACTGATGATAGAAGATATTAAAGATGACTTAACCAGTGATGATGAAAAAAGTGATAGCCAAGTACTTTTTGACATATTAAGCAGAGAGAAGAGATACAGTCTCTGAGCCTACAGTAATAATTAAGTATATATATGTCAAACGTAAATTAATCAGGAATGCATTATTGTTTTAAAACATATTTTTCATTCCATAACTTCTAGGGTTCACCAAATGAAGTAATAGATGTTTACGATACAAGTGAGTTAACAGCATCGTTAAGACACGCGTGTGAAAGTTGCACGAGTACGTAGCACGAATTGTGTAACCCCACAAGTACCGTATGATCGAAAAAAAACGGCGTCGATCATACGGTATCATAATGGAGTTAACTCGCGTGTATTGTACAATATTTTATCTACGTCTAACTATAAAAACATACAATGAATAATAAAAAGTATTGTACTTAAGTATATACATATCCTAAAAATCAATAACCTTAATACCTTTGTTCAAATAACACCATGCATGGCAATGTCAATATGACAGTAAATAATATTGATGTCACTAGTTTAAAAAATGAGCGATTCGGAAAGTATTCCCTCTGACATTGAAGAAGAGGCATTCAGAGCCATTTCTGGATTGCTTCCAGCAAGATCGAAACAGAAGTATGAATATACATACTCTAAGAAAAAAAAGTACACAACTATGGAAATGAAAAGGTAGTACTCATAACATATTTTTCCAATTTATCCGCTACTTGTAAGCCTTCGTCTCTTTGGGCTTTCTATTCAATGATACGTACTATGATATCTATTAAAATGAATAAAGATATAAGCAAATACATTAATTTAGTAGCCCTTCTAAAAAGAAAATCCGAAAAAATCAAAGGTGCTAACAAAGGGCAATATGTAGCTCCTTCATCAGGCATTTACTTCAAAGATTGTTCAAACTGTATCATTAACATTTATTTATAATAAATAAGTTTTCATGTTTTTATAATTATTATCAATAGAACAGTTTATTTGTATTTAGTGCAAAATAAATGTTTTACAAAATATTTTTTTCTCTTTGGTAGTCATCTAAACAAGGAGTGCGGTAATGAAAATGCGTGAGTTCAGAAGCTCTTAACTCACTCAAAATGCGTGAGTTAAGAGCTTCTTAACTCACTGACGTAGATAAATATATTTTTTTCTTTTTAGTTACCGTGAAAATATCGTTCAGGACGATGAAAAAAAGAATTCTGGTCAAGTTGAGCTCATTATATTAATATTAAGAGGTGTATCATATCGTTTTCACGGTAACTAAAAAGAAAACAAGAATTTTTTTGGTGCACCCTATATATTCCAAATAACTTCTACCATTTAATATTTATTAAATAAATATCAAGTTGTACTATACAGGGTTTTTCACCACATACGACACGGAGTATTGTAGCTAAACGATGAGATTTTTACAAATTGTAAGTTTGGGGTTCGTTGAAGGACTATTAGAGCTACAATTTAAAAATATTTTTACAAGATACAGAGTATCCCAAATAAATAAAAAATATCAAAGTTGTATTTTTTTAAATGGACCACCCTGTATATTATTACATTTTTAGTTTCTACGATTAAAATAAAGGTAAATTTGATTAAGGTTTATTATACTTAAACATTACGTTTTTGAAATATTTTCAATTTTGTGAAATTGCAGTAAAAATTTTAAAGCTTTATTTCTCCAAGGGTATCAATGTTTTTAATACTAAATATTTAATGAAGTTTATTTATTGATCAGTTATTGTGTTGCAATAATAAAAATAATACTACTTTATAGAGAGTGTCTAAAAATTTACTTTAAATAATTATTAACTTCAAACGGCAACAACTTCTTTAATTTAAATAGAATGCCCTGTATATTTTAGGAGAATCAGATGCACAATTAAATTGTCTATCAAATTGTATTATACCATTTTTTACCTATCCCTTCAAGTTTTCGTAGAAAATGCATTTTCTTATCATTTAGACCTCATTTATCAATATATCCATGGAATATTGACATTTTAGATTGTTTTTAAAGCAACAAATGTACAAAATGTACAGACTAGTAATATTATCGTTTTTAGCAAAACGATAATTGTATGCAAAAAGAAAACTATTTAAATCTTTATAAAAGAGTATACCATTAATTAAATATAACACCATTATTTCCGCCCATATACTAATTAATTACATACTTAATTGTGTTCGTTAATAAATTATTATAAATAAATGTGGATTTGAGTCAGAAATCAATATAATAATAAGTTATCAAATTAAAGTCTCTGTTGTTATAAATAAGCATTTATTAAAAAATGAAATATCATTTTTAAGGTGTTACTTTTTATCACACTGTCTAATGCCCATACAAAATTCAGTTTTTTAGTATTTGGAGCAATTATTATTAATCAATGCAAACAGTCAGTTAATGTAGTTTGAATACTGGATCATATTAATTGGTCCTCTTTAACAAATATTTGAACAGTTTTTTTTTATTTTTTAATGAAATAAACGAATTATATCGACAATATTAGTATCTGTACTCTTTAAAAATTTGGTACATCTTTAAAAATAATCTAAAATGTCAATAGTCCATGGGTATATTGATAAATAAGTTCTAAATTACAAGAAAATGCATTTTCTACGGAAACTTAAAGAGATAGGTAAAAAATGGTATAATATAATAATTTGATAGACAATTAAATTGTGCATCTGATTCTCGTAAAATATACAGGCTGTTCCATTTAAATTAAACAAGTTATTGCCGTTTGAAGCTAATAATTATTTAAAATAAATTTTTAGACACTCTGTATAAGGTAGTATTATTTTTATTATTGCTTATTATTGCTATTAAATAAACTTCAGTAAAAAACTTTGATACCCTTAGAGAAATGAAGCCTTAAAATTTTTACTGCAATTTCACAAAATTGAAAATATTTCAAAAACGGTAAGGTTTAATAAACCTTAATCAAATTTACCTTTATTTTAATCGTAGAAACTAAAAATGTAATAATATACAGGGTGTTCCATTTAAAAAAATACAACTTTGATATTTTTTACTTATTTGGGACACTCTGTATCTTGTAAAATTATTTTTAAATTGTACCTCTAATAGACCTTCATCGAACCCAAAACTTACAATTTGTAAAAATCTCATCGTTTAGGTACAATACTCCGTGTCGTATGTGGTGAACAACCCTGTATATAAAGTCTCAGGTTCAATGAAGTATTGATAGATGTTAAAAATGTTGTTTAATTTCTTAAATCTATTTCTTATAGGATTTGTAATTATCAATTCACGACACTAAATACGTAGATATGACATGAGAGTGTAGTAAATGTTAAATTTTATACATTATTCTGTGAAAATGGAAGTGATAGAATAGTAGAACAAATTTTTTATTCAAATTAAAAGTGCATTTATTTTATTTTTCCGTTTTTTTTATTTTATTTAATTTTTGAGAATATATTTTATTGGTTGTATATATTTTTTGTTGGCACAAAATTGTCATATCTAAATATTTCTTTTGTAATTGTGTGTAATATTGAATGTATTTTTCTTAAATAATAAGTACCTATGTTGACTGAGTAAATGATTAGATGAATGTTTTTATTCCTAGATTATATTAAAAAATTGTGATGTCTCCTAGACTTAATTAATGTCTAATTAAAAATATTGTTCTTATAAAGTAAAATATTAGAGAACTATGCTAAAAGCAATTTATTTTTTTTTTATTGTTTGTTTATCAACCCTATTTCCTTCCTTAGTTGATTGCATAAACAATACGCGCAAGTGCGCAAGAATAATTGATTTCACCATCCCAGAGCAGATTGCAGTATAATTGCTGGGAACGGGGGCGCCGACTTCTGTATAAAACATCGTGGGTGCTCATCAGATAAAGATAAATGTAACCATAGAATGTAACAAAATTTCAGATATTTGTTGTATTTACCATATTTTGGTACATTTTTTACATATGTATTGTATTTACATAGTACAGTCATGTACAGGGTGGGTCAAATTCAGCGCTTTTAAATGGAAACACCCTTTTCTTTAGGAGATAGACGAAAACTAATATCGGTGTCTGGAGCTCAATTTTTGTCAAAAACATGATGGTGAAAACCGCATATCGATATCTGTTACCGTTTCGGAGTTACGGGGTGTTTTTCAAAAATGTGCATTTTTAACAAATCGCCGTAAATTTTTTGCTATGGAAAATTTTGTATTTCTATGAAAACATTTCCAAAGCACCTTTTTACGTAGAATTTAATGGTTTTAGTATAATTTTTTTAAAATTAATAATTTAAGAATTATCAACAGAAAATTTGTTTTTTTATATGGGACACCCTGTATATTTTTAACTAACTGAAAAGAATTTAAAATTACCTTTCCAAAAATATAGCACACTTGATATTTTGTTATAATCCCCTTCGAAATACAGAATTTTTAAAAGTTCGCCACTTTTAACTAGTAGGCTTTGGATCCCTTATTGATGATATGCCCTTAATGGAACTCGAAAACATATTTTTCCAGCAAGACGACGCACCGCCTCTGAACGCTGAAGTTATCAGCAAATTTTTGCAGCCAATTTCAAGAATAACTGAATAGCTGACCAAGATTCCAGCCGTTGGCCGTCGAGGCCGCCTGACTTAGTGCCCATGGATCTAATCCTATGGATATATTTGCGGAAGAATAACGATTCCTTATTCTTCCGTATAATCTAGACAAGAATTCGAAACACTTAGCAGTTATGAGAGGGTATCTTTCACCCCCACTGAGTTAATGAATTCCGCGAGAAATGTTCAAAAACTGCCCCGTCTGTCCATAACAGAAGACGGTCGATATGTCGAACATCTGTAGCAAAATCTCATGTCTTGGCTTGCTATTTATTTTTATTGATATTAGATATAGTTTAAATGTGTTGATGTTGTTAGATATAGTTTAAATTGTTATAAAATTCTGCATCTCTCATTGCAAATATTATTTTCGTTTTAATTGCTGCTCACAGCTAGAAGTTTTTTGCATTACAGCCAGTGCCGTTCAAAGCCTACTTATTTATTTAAAGCGCGCGAATTTTTATGTACTCTATATCTCGAAGAGGAATAGAGCAAAGTATCAAGTGTGTTATATTTTTGGAAAGGTAATTTTAAATTCTTTTCAATAAATTAAAAGTATACAGGGTGTCCCATATAAAAAAACAAATTTTCTGTTGATAATTCTTAAATTATTAATTTTAAAAAAATTATACTGAAACCATTAAATTCTACGTAAAAAGGTGCTTTGGAAATGTTTTCATAAAAATACAAAATTTTTCATAGCAAAAAAGTTACAGCGATTTGTTAAAAATGCATATTTTTGAAAAACACCCAGTAACTCCGAAACGGTAACAGATATCGATATGCGGTTTTCACCATTATGTTTTTGATGAAAATTGAGCTCCAGACACCGATATTAGTTTTTGTCTATCTCCTATAGAAAAGGGTGTTTCCATTTAAACGCGTCGAATTTGACCCACCCTGTACAAGGCGACAAACGTGTTGAAATAATAATAATAATACCGTATGATCGAAAAAAACGGCGCCCTTTGGTTTGAAAATGACGATCGATGACATTCTCCATATAACTTTACATATAAAAAATGACAGCGATCTTCATTTCATAGCCATCGCTGACGCCGTTTTTTTTTCGATCATACGGTACTAATTATAATAAACAAGTCATTGCTGTTACTCTAAATGACAACATTGGAAAGACCTACATAGAAAAGCTTGTGAAATACCAGGATTTGTCATATGAGTTAAAAAAATATATACGTTGGGGTTGTTTACGATGGTGAATTAAAGGTGCGTCCAGACCTGACGAGACGAGCGCGAGACATTCCAAATTAACTAAGTGTGGACGGGTCTCGCGAGAGCTTCGCGATACAACCACAACCCACGGAGCCTCGTTGCTATCCGTCCTCTGTCGGTTTTGCGACGGCCGATCAAAGAAAGCGGCACAGCTGCGAACGTGTTTTTGGTAGGCTCGCGGCTCGACTGCGAGATATTAGCTCTGAGTTATGAATTTCGACTATTTAAAATTAAATAATCTCAAATTTTTTAAATGGTACACCGTATGTATTATCGTTTTTTTCTGATAGAATTTACAAATTTTGCGTCACTGATAATTTTTACCGTATCGAAATCTAACATTTCTTTAAAAAAAAATTGAATTGTTACAAAATCTATTAATTTTAGATATAAATATCATATGCAAAAAATTACCGAATTGTACGTAGAATCTATACTAATCTATATATACTAATATAAAATCCTTAAGTGACTGACTTACTGATTAATCACGATCCTGCTCAAACCACTGAACGTAAGAAGCTCAATTTAGGCATACAGGTGATTCTAGGGTGTAGAGGTTCGATAAGAAGGGATTTTTCGAAATTCCAGTTCCAAGGGGGTTAAACCACCCCTCAAATATTACAATATTTTTTATTTAAAAAACGGCCGAAAGTTTCCGAAAAAACGCTTATTAAAAAATTTCAAAATATGTAAAAAAACAAAATAAATTATGCGTGGCCAAGCGTTTTCCGAAAAGACTAACCCGTTTTTTAAATAACAAATATTGTAATATTTAAGGGGCGTTTTCACCCTCTTGGAATTTGAGATTCGAGAAACCCCTCTTTATCGAACCTCTACACCCCACAGTCAATCCGTTTGCCAAAAATCAGCTTTAAACGTCAAGCAGTTTAAACAGAATCGTGATTACTCAATGGTCATATTTTATGAAACACCTGTATAAATTTTTAAAAAATCTTAAAATATGTAAAACAAAAAAATAAAATATACGTGTTTAAGAGTTTTTCCGAAAAACTCACCGGTTTTTCAATAAAAAATATTCAAATATTTGAGGGGTGGTTTCACCCCCTTAGAATTCGAGTTTCGAAAAATCCCTTCTTATCGAACCTCTACACCCTAAAGTCAATCCGTTTTCCAAAAATCAGCTTTTTACATCAAACGCTTTAAGCAGGATCGTGATTAATCAATAACCAGCATTTTCGAAACACCCTGTATACATTTTTAAAAAATCTTAAAATATGTAAAAAAACAAAATAAAATATACGTGTTTAAGCGTTTTTTCGGAAACTTGACCGTTTTTTGAATAAAAAATATTGTAATATTTGAGGGGTAGTTTCACCCCCTTGGAACTGGAATTCCGAAAAATCCCTTCTTATCGAACCTCTACACTCTAGAATCAACCTGTATGCAGGGTCTATCTTTCATCTGGTCGGGCCCTAATGCCCAAGCAAAAATTCTCTTTTCCAATAAAATTCAAAAATTCAAGAAATTATGAATATTTTACAAACTTTAACGGCCCCCCCAGACCACCGGGCCCGGGCCTTATGGTAGAACAGGTCCTGCCTGTATGCCAAAATTGAGCTTCTTACGTTGAGTGGTTTGAGCAGGATCGTAATTAATCAGTATGTCAGTCACTTAAGGATTTTATATATTAGTACAGATGTCTACCATTTTCAAATAACTCTTTTATTTAATTGTCATTAGTGCTGTACCAGATATATGCTTTTTCGATAACTGTGACTTCGAATAATCCCTTCGATATCGACAATGTCGTGTCTCTTCCAGCCGCGAGGCAAATTCAACGATCGCCGTCCAGGAAAGGTGTTGCGCGCGCGAAAACTTTGTCGGGAGAATTTCCCGATCGCAGGCAAATGCCACACATCCGCCGCGTACGGTTTTCCAGCCAGCAGTGTCGCCGCCGGTGCTGGGCAAGAAGCGGGAGCTCTGAAATTGCCCTCATCTAGTCAATTCGGTTCGGGAAACATCCAGAAAAATTAGTCGGTGCATCGGGAAGGCAAGTGGATTCGGGTCTTGGTGGTGACAGGTTGTGGCGAAGGAGAGTTTGAAACTCAGTTCAGTCAGGTGAGGATTGATTGTCATGTTCGTAGTGTATGTCTCTTGTTGCTTTTTGGGGAGTCTCTTACGTCATATTCAACTGGTCCCTTTTCTGCATACAAATTAATTTTTGAATTTTGCATTTTTTAGTTTCGTTAAAAATGTAAAAATAATAAAATGCTGAGATTACCTTAACATTTTTTTAGTTTTTTATTTATATTTGAAAGAAAGCTTTATTTATAAAAGACATTTTATTATTAATTTATTAAAAAAGTAGAAAGTTGGAAAATTGAAAGATCTCTGTTCTCTATCCGTTATTTGTTTTGACAGAATAGCAATAATACTAAGTAGTTTTAAATTAAAGGTCAAGTTGTTTGGAGTTGCCATGTCACAGAGTGTTGAATATTTAAATTTGTGCAGTGGCGGCTCCTTGATATTCATCTTATTGTGGGCTGTATATACTTCTTCCACATAAATCATAGATGTAATAAATAAATTCTTCTGATATATTCTGTAGTCTCCCATTAGAATTTTCTGTTTTTCAAATATTATAACAATTTCCGTTTAGTTATTATTTCTATAACCATTAAAACTTTATAGTCACGAGCTTTAAAGTCTAAGTACTACGCAAGATTGTTGCTTTTGTACAAAAAATTAATTATTCGATTATATTTCTTCATTCTGTCCTAAAAAAATAACTGTTGAACCAATATTTTCTAATATTTTAAGTTTTTAGGATTTCTATTTGTTGTAATAGTGGGTTTGTTTGTTATAGCTTGATACATACATTCTATATACTACATTTAATCAAAATATAATAAAATTAAAGAGATAGAGGTATTACATATTACATAGAGAAATTTTGAAGATTTTTTCTGTTTCAAAATTGGGTTTTAGCAGTTTAATTCTAAATCTAGGAAAGTCATCTTAATATAAAGGCCATAGCGTCGGTGAAATGTGATAAACTGCTAACTCCATTATTCTTAATTTTAGAGGAGAGAAAAGAAAAGGTACAAAAAAATATACACATGTAGCAAGTATGTACAGGGTGGTCAAAATTGGTCTGTTAAATAGAGAAAACCTATGTCCTGACTAGATAGAGCAAAACCGACATATATGTCATGGGATCGATTTCTGAGAAACGTTTAATGGCGTAAACCGCCTGTTGATATTCTCACTACCAACTGAGATATTGGGTCTTTTTGATTTTTTTACCATTTTGAAAATTGCCCATAACTTTTTTATTTTGCGGAATAATAAAATTCTGTAAAAACGTTATTAAGGCACTTTTTTAGACACAATCCAGTGACGTAGTCAATTTTTTTCTATGCTTGCTCTTTTTGTCAGAAATAATAAAAAATATAATTTTTTAAATGTAATTGGCTATGAACTTAAAAAAATGCTGGCATTTTACCCTTTCCAATGATCTAAAGTTATGGACATCTATTTCTAAGAATGAGAGAAATATTAGGTTTATGATCTTTATATCAAAGCGGGCCTTGATTTTGTGTTGACCTATTTGCCTAATTATTTTTTAACACAATTTAATATTCTATATTATTATTTTTCTGCATAATTAAAGACTTTTGAAAAGGTAAATTAACATTCTATATTAGTATTAGTAATTACAATTGAAATCGATACAATAAACAAAGAATAAAACTAAAAAAAAGTATTTTTTGAGTGACGAATATAGTTTTCTAAAAAAAATCATCAAAGATGTTCAAACTGAGCACCCCCTTGTTGAATACACAATAAACATCAATATCGACAATAGTCAGGAAATAGGTTTTCTCTGTTAAAACAGACCAATTTCGACCACCCTGTACAGGGTGGGTCAAATTCGACGCTTTTAAATGGAAACATCCTTTTCTATGGGAGATAGACAAAAACTAATATCGGTGTCTGGAGCTCAATTTTTGTCAAAAACATGATGGTGAAAACCGCATATCGATATCTGTTACCGTTTCGGAGTTACGGGGTGTTTTTCAAAAATATGCATTTTTAACAAATCGCTGTAACCTTTTTGCTATGGAAAATTTTGTATTTTTATGAAAACATTTCCAAAGCACCTTTTTACGTAGAATTTAATGGTTTAAGTATAATTTTTTTAAAATTAATAATTTAAGAATTATCAACAGAAAATTTGATTTCTTATATGAGACACCCTGTATATTTTTAATTTATTGAAAAGAATTTAAAATTACCTTTCCAAAAATATAACACACCTGATATTTTGCTCGATTCCTCTTCGAGATATAAAGTATATAAAAATTCGCCGGCTTTAATTAAGTAGGCTTTGAACGGCACCAGCTGTAATGCAAAAAAATTCTAGCTGTGAGAATCAATTAAAACGAAAATAATATTTGCTATGAGAGATGCAGAATTTTATAACAATTTAAAATATATTTAACCAACATCAACACATTTAAACTATATCTAATAACAATAAAAATAAATAGCTAACCAAGACATGAGATTTTGCTACAGGTGTTCGACATATCAACCGTTTTCTGTTATGGACAGACGGGGCCGTTTTTGAACATTTCTCGCGGAATTCATTAACTCAGTGGGGGTGAAAGATACCCTCTCATAACTGCTAAGTATTTCTAATTCTTGTCTAAATTATACCGAAAAATAAGGAACATTTATTCTTCTGCAAATATATCAATATGATTAGATCCATGGGCACTAAGTCAGGCGGCCTCGACGGCCAACGGCTGGGATCTTGGTTAGCTATTCAATTATCCTTGAAATTGGCTGCAAAAATTTGCTGATAACTTCAGTGTTCAAAGGCGGTGCGTCGTCTTGCTGGAAAAATATGTTTTCGAGTTCCATTAAGGGCATATCATCAATAAGGGGTCCAAAGCCTACTAGTTAAAAGTGGCGAACGTTTAAATATTCTGTATTTCGAAGGGGATTATAAAAAAATATCAAGTGTGCTATATTTTTGGAAAGGTAATTTTAAATTCTTTCCAGTTAATTAAAAATATAGAGGGTCTCCCAAATAAAAAATCAATTTTCCTGTTGATAACTTTTAAATTATTAATTTAAAAAAAATTATACTTAAACCATTAAATTCTACGTAAAAAGGTGCTTTGGAAATGTTTTCATAGAAATACAAAATTTTCCATAGCAAAAAAGTTACAGCGATTTGTTAAAAATGCACATTTTTGAAAAACACCCCGTAACTCCGAAACGGTAACAGATATTGATGTGCGGTTTTCACCATCATGTTTTTGATGAAAATTGAGCTCCAGACACCGATATTAGTTTTCGTCTATCTCATATAGAAAAGGGTGTTTCCATTTAAAAGCGTCGAATTTGACCCACCCTGTACAGATGTAGCAAGTATATTCATGCGTTAATATGATAAAGAGATAACAATAATATTTGTTCGGGAACAATAAAACCCAATATTTTGTTCAAAATTGTACGTAAAAATGATGTATTAAACGTATTATTTACTTAAAATCAAAAATTGAGTTAGCAGGTTATCACGTTTCACTGACGATATGCTATCATTACTGTTTCGAATATTTACTTTTAGGCAGGGGCGCATATACGGGAGGGGTAATGGGGGTAATTACCCCTCCCAGAAAGAAATTTTTTAATAAGATAAAATACGGTATAAAATAAAATTGTCACAAAAAAAATTAATAATACCTATTAGTCAAAATAGAAAATCCAGACACATCAAAATTTATTTTTTCTACAGTCACAGTACCATTCGGCTAACAATTATTATATTTAATTTAAATTTAGTACTTTATTTAAATATTGCCACTACCTCTCCCAGACTCAATCTCTAGATGCGCCACTGTTTTTAGGCAGCCTTTTTAGGCTTTTAGGAAACTTCGTAGCTTGTCATCAACGTGAGCAGTGTATTTTTTCTTCAGACTGAGAACTAAAAAATACACAAATCTATAGTGTTCCTTAATTTATTATTTGATATTTGTGTTTTACAAATTTGTTATTTGTGTTTTCTGTTTTTGGAATATAAATTTTTATTGAGATTTTTGAGATTTTTTTTAGAGAGATCTGTTTTCTTGTCGTTATTTGTTTAGAAAAATCATTATCTATAGTAATAATGGTTTCTGATTCTATATAATATCATCCTAAAGTAAAGACATATTGTCATGTCATAGTGTTGAATATTTAATTGTCTACAATGGCGCCACGTTGGAATTAAACTAAATATTTTTTTTTGATATTGGTACTAAATAAATAAGTAAATCTAGCAGCTGGTATTTATCATTGATTTTTTTTTATTTTTATGAAATTATAAATAATTTTTTTTAATTAGTATCTAATATTATTTTTCACAAGGAACTGAAAGTTAGTATTGTTCACTGCTGTTACATGCAGTCATGACACACCTTGTATAAATAGTTTTTGGTTGTTTTCCAACCCACCCATCCCGACCCTTGTGCGGACGCTCTGAATATTTAAACTCTAAATATACAGGGTTGTTCACCACATACGACACGGAGTATTGTAGCTCAACGATGAAATTTTTACAAATTGTAAGTTTGGGGTTCATTGAAGGACTATTAGAGCTACAATTTAAAAATATTTTTACAAGATACAGAGTGTCCCAAATAAATAAAAAATATCAAAGTTGTATTTTTTAAATGGAACACCCTGTATATTATTACATTTTTAGTTTCTACGATTAAAATAAAGGTAAATTTGATTAAGGTTTATTATGCTTAAACCTTACCGTTTTTGAAATATTTTCAATTTGTGAAATTGCAGTAAAAATTTTAAAGCTTCATTTCTCCAAGGGTATCAATGTTTTTAATACTAAATATTTAATGAAGTTTATTTATTGATCAGTTATTGTGTTGCAATAATAAAAATAACACTACCTTATACAGAGTGTCTAAAAATTTATTTTAAATAATTATTAGTTTCAAACGGCAATAACTTTTTTAATTTAAATGGAATGCCCTGTATATTTTAGGAGAATCAGATGCACAATTTAATTATCTATTAAATTGTATTATACCATTTTTTACCTATCC